CTGAAACTCTAACACGAGTCTACACAACACAAATGAACACAACCGCTCAAGCTCCGCACTGCGTCCAACATCCAGGGAAGGTTTCGAAGGAAGACACTTGTATCTTTTCCTCTCTTCAGTGCAGCCGGTATTGGATTAAAGTGTTGGAGGATCTGCAGAATCACACATGTTGAGCCACAAAAGCCCCCAGTGACTCATTATAGACTGCAAAAGCCAGCGCTCCCTAAAGAGAGTCTGAGATATTATCACAGCCGCACAGAGAGACTGAGAGCTCACAACCCATGAGCAAAGAGAGAGACGCAGAAAAACAGTGGATGCTGCTTAATCACAGTGAATTTTAAATGTAGACAGACCACAGCTGTTACTCTTTTACAGTGCTCATATGCAGTTCAAGGCTCAAGCACTGCACCAACTCAGTCATTATTGCAAATTGCCTGAATTTTTAATATTAGGAAAAAATGCTTGCAATCAACCACCAAGAACACCCTAGCAACTCATTGTAACACTTTAGCAACCATACAGTACTCGAACATTGTTGCAGCAAAGAATATACAGCAGGGGTATAAAGGATCCATACAGATAACTACCCACAGTTCACAACGCATATGACCCACGGATTAATAACTTTTTTAACTTAATCCAACATTTATAACAATTGCAGAGAGATCGCCTCCCGCGTCATTCAAATTACGTGTATGAAAGTATTTTGGCTTCCTAGTAAAATATAATGTTGAAGAAAATGGTTGTGGTAGGGCCAAAGTGCCTTCTTAGGTTATTAATTAAATGTGTTTTCTGTGACTGCTTGTTTTCTGTGAATGCAGCAATGCATTCAGTGTGAAGCTCCTCCCTTTTTTGCTGATTCGAAAAATGGTCTGATCCGAAACTCAAGAGATTTGTGATCTGTTGCACCAGGGGTTCTCAACCTTCTCAACCCATCTTCTTTATTCGATCAATTTTTGAAGGCCCACTAGTCTCTCTTAAATAATTTTCTTTTAAATGTTTGTTTAAAATGCTCATATAAACATGTTTTTATTAACAAATATATACAGGGCGTGACTTTAACTCAGCATCATCAGCCACAGTGGCTAGTAGTTTTCCAACGTTACTAGCCACTCTGCATTTCCACTAGCCACAATTTTGATGTTGGGAAAATATTTTTATATGCATAAATATGACTCTGACATGCTAAAATTTCTTGATTTAGATTTTGTGTTTTGTCCACATGTCTCCTCATTCATTTCACGTTTTGTGTGTTGTGTATGAGCAAATGGGTCATGGTTGTTATACTGGAATTAGTTCTTATTTCACATGACTTTTCAGAACTCAAAATTAAGGATTTACTAAAATTATCTCTGACCACACAAAAAATAATTATTAAAAATAATATTTTAAAAATAATTATTGTCATGTATCAAATATATGCACAGTAATCTGTCCTGGCTAAAGATCTCTCAGATCACCAGTTAACTACACATAAATGGAGAGTTAATCTCATATCAAAGCAATGTTGTTGTAAAAAAAATTATAATTAAACCATATAAAAAAAAATAAATAATTCCAGGTAAATAATTTTGGTATTCATCTGCTTTCTTCTGCTCGCGGGAACGCGTTTTTTTTTTTTTTTTTTTTTTGATAGTTGTGTTGTTTCACGATTCTAAGATCCCATTTGCACGCATATTGGGTCATTCTTATAGTCGAACCCTGCTTTTAAGAAAACCACAATTTAAAAATTATTTTCAACCAGCCAAAGTGGCTTTAGTGGGAGTTACTGTCTAACCCACCAAAAATGAAATCTACCCGCATTTGGCAGGTAAGCGGGTGTTAATGTTAAGCCCTATTATATATAATGTTACATAAAAAACACACACTCACACACAGATTCAAAGAGAACCAAAGGTCAGCAGGGACATTGCAAAAGACCAGCATCTGCTTTAAAATAGACTGACTGAACATTTATTATTAAATATCTACTATTCATAAATATATAGACAAATGTAAAATACAATAAAACACTCTAAATCTGTTGAAACACATCAATTCGATGGCAGTTGAGTTTGCAGCTGCATATTATTGGGAGATCACTGACAGGAAATGTGAACAGCTCCGCCAGAGCGCATCTGAAGCTCATTTGAAAGTTTATCTTACATTCTATGTCAGAAACACAATTGCCTTGCTAGATCCTCCTGCATGGGCGTGCGTCCGTTATAAAACAATAATAAGACATTGATTTGGACAACTATGCTGCTATATTAAATAGTTCACACAAAAATACACAAAAAGAGACTTTCACTTTCACTTCACGCATAGTTTGTGAATGAACAGACTTGCGTGTAGTTGCAGACACGATGAGGCTGTTTTAGCACCGAGATTGAAGTAATTAATGTAAGAACAGGTGAAAGTGAATTTCATTGATCATTTTAATATAGCATATTAATAATGAAATCCAAAAATTATAGTATAATATTGAGAGTTATTTTTTCAGGATTGCTGAGGCCTACTAGTGGTTGAGAATCGCTATGTTTTACCATTACTATATAGAGAAACATTACACATCTCCTCTTAAAATGTCCAAATTATTACATTTTACATTTCATTCAGATTATGCATAATTTTTTCTTGACTGTTGTATAATCACTGGTATAAAAAGGATAGTTCTGATCTTTCATTCTGATTGGTTGTGCCATGTTGGAAAATCATAAAGACAGACACATAAGTAACGAGCCAAAAATATGTTTTATTGGCTTTGTTTAATTTTGTAAGATCATCTGTCGTCCCTAACAAAGCACTTTAGCTGTTATAAAATCAGTGTAAACCAGGTTTTTTGGAGATTATTGCTTTATAATACATTCATCCTTGTTGTGTCGTTTTACTTATAATTTATATAAACTTTTCTATTTAGAGCAAGTGAACAATATCTACAAGTGGAGATAACAAACGTTGCATCTTTTCATAAACATGATATGATGCCCACATGTCTCATCTGACACGCATTTATCCGTCTGCTACAGAGAACGAAACCTTCATTTGTGTTTTATCTAAAGCTCTGGGCCAGAACACGAAGCCCCTGAGGGATGTAAATAACGCTGATGATAACAGACGCTTCCATAAATGAACATAAACACGAGCCACCAAATTACCAGCCTGTGGAGAACTTGAATTTTCTTCTGCTTTCTTATTTTGCTCAATCGTGATGAACACGGTTTTATGTAAATGTATGTCATCTGAACACACACAGATGCTTCTATTATCACTGGAATTCAGAAGTGTTGTTATCAGCGCTCGTCTCCTTCACAATCTCTCTCTATAGTCCCCTTACAAACATATGCGGTTAAATACTGTTTCCCAGCAGGGCTTCATATTGCTTCATCTTATGCGTAATGTCTCTTCAACTGAGCTATAGATTCCTCTGCGATGTAAACTTTCAGTTCCTGTATCTCCTGTGTTTGCCGTTTACAGCTTAAATTAAAAGTTCATTCTTTTATTACAGCTTTCATTATTTGAAAGGGGTTTATTCAGACATAATTAACAGACATTATATGATGAATATAATCTTAATGAGAGATTTGAGGTGAGTCACCAGCAGCTTGTAAAGGATTTTGTCCATTCCTGTGATTTTTCCAACACAAATCCCTAATGATCCACACATCCGAGAGCGACGTCAGGAAATAATCCAGGCTGCTCTTCTCATATCAGATGACTAAATCTTGACATTTTGTGAAGGAAATGTGGTGCGTGACTTTGTAAAGTTCACTGCCACAATGCTAGGCTTTTGCAACGACTAGATGTTGTCAAAAGCAAGGTGTTTTGTTGCCTCAAGATAAAAGTGATGTTTTGTTCTACAGTAGCTAATGAATAGAGCTTTCATAAGCAATCATCACTATGCTAAGCACAATAAGCTGTTAGCTTGCTAACCCAAGGCAAACAGAAAAGGATTTGGTTTGTACTCATTTTAACTTTAGAAATATAACGAGATATGCAATTTAAAAGCCACTTATTACCATATTTTCATGATTATGAATAGAAAAACACCATCAAGTGATGGTTGGCGCTATCATTTCTTATGAGGCACTGAAAAATCCCTGCTGATAATTTTTATTTTATTGTTTTAATGTTTATAATGGGCTTTAATGGAAATTATAATGTTTCTTTCATGTATCTACTGGCAATATGTGCCTTCTATTGCATGTTAAATCCAACCTAATGGAACATTTCCCAAAATCGACTCTTTTTACTGGTTAAAATGTGATTGTTTATAATGTTTTTTATAGTGGAAACCATCAGAATATCTCAGCTAATGGAAGGTTTTTTTGTGGAAAATGCTAATTGAACTACTTTGCATAGAGGTTTAGGATCACATTAGCTCTCCCAATGTTACAGTATTACATTATTGCTGCGGTCTGAGGTGATTTATTCTGGCAGAAAGCAGGCCTTGTCCACCTGTGTGTCTGCCATTTTGACAGGCTGAAAGCGGGCCGGCCGTCCAGCGTGACAGCTGTCAGATAGGCTTTTACTGGATGTGCACTCATACCTGGAGATGTTCATACACACACACACACAAACACATGAAAGCACAAATACACAGATGATTCCACGTCAGAATGAGGCGGCGACACAAAACATGACAGCGATCAGGTGACTAGTGAAAGTGTGTGTGTGACAGAGAGAGAGAGAGAGAGAGAGAGAGAGAGAGAGAGAGAGAGAGAGAGAGAGAGAGAGAGAGAGAAAGCAGTGCAGTCTGGGAAAGAATGAGATATGATGTCTTTGAGCTCTGACACTGCTGGGCTTTCTTTGAGCTTCACAATCATCTGATGTTTCTGATTTTGTCACTTTTCCCGTCGGTGTCAAGACTGAGGATATCGGATGAATAAATCCCACAATCCCATTAAGTGGTGGGAGTCCATATGTGTCAGATTATGTGCTTCATACAGTATGTGACATTTAAACCCCTGAGATCAGACAGAAGTGTTTCATCTGGTATTTCTATCTTTGTTTTATTTCAGCTTCCAGTGGCAAATACCACTAACGCTCGCAGTGGGAAACGCCAGTCACATATCAACGGAGACCATCATTTGGGTCACAAATAAATCAGGTATGTATTATGATGTGTTTGATGAACACAGTCAAGATATGACTTTTAATAGGACTCTGAATATGCCATGTGCTGTAAACACTAGATGAAAAGTAATAGCATTTATCGAACACTAAAGAAAATACTCAGAGTCATTAAAATACTGGGAGTTTGTGGCGAGAATGCTATTAACTAATGAACAAACTAATTGAATTAACTAAAAGAATCAATGAATTAATTAATTAACTAATTCATTTATTTCAAAAAGTTCAGGAAATTCATATAATATACATATGAATTCATATAGGAGTTACAAAAATGCCCTGCACAGTTAAACTAATTGCTTAATACTAAATACTTAACAGAGACAATTTTGTAAATATTTGGGGCGTTACATGGACTGGAATGTTTTGTCTGTGTAACCAGGACTCATTCTTCTCTCCCCCACCACACCACACGACAACCTCAAAATTGAATGCAAATCTGAGTATGCCTCACACAGGTGAGTGGGCTTGACAAACCACTTTCAGAAACCTTTCATTTCCCTCACCAGTTTGGTTTGCTCATTTGCACCAGACATGTTCTTACGATGACTCCACATCTAAATAATAAATAAATAAATAAATAAATAAATAAATAAATAAATAAGTGTGCTGCAAACATTGAAGTGGGCTTGGAAAACCACCTGTAGAAACTACTCTTCTCTCTCTAAACCCCCATTTATATTATTATTTGCACAATTTCATTTATTTGGTCTCTATTCCAGAGGTCAACACAGAGGAATAAACTTTCAACTATTCTGGCATATGTTTTAGGCAGCGGATGCCTTTATAGCCACAACTCAGTACTGGGATACACCAATACACTCACACATTCATTAACACGCACTCATACACTACAGCCAATTTTGTTAATTCACCTATAATGCATGTCTTTGAACTGTGGGGGAAACCAGAGCACCAATGCGAACACTGGGAGAACAAGCAAACTCCACAGAAATTCCATATGGCCCAGCTGAGGCTGAAACTAGTGGCATTCTTATTGTGAGACAGTGCTAACCACTGAGCCACTGTGTTGCCCACACAATTTCATTTATTGTGTAAATATGTTTAACACACACAATTTGTAAAGTACTTATTTCATGTTAAAACTGTTGACAATCGACACAGTTTTAGCAGGGGTCTCTCACAACATGATGATTTTTGATTATTTGATACAGAAATTTAAGACTTAATGACCATGATGCACAATAGTATGTTTTATAAATTGATTGACTGACGGATTGACTGCATGTTAGTTACTTCTCATGAGTAAAACAAATACAAATACATTCAAAAATAGTAATAAAAACTGCCAAACTACTTCACAAGTATTCCTTGGCAAGATAATCATTAGTTTAATAAGGCTTTTCATTCATTATAATCTTAGGTCAGATGCATCCCCCTGACTTTTTTTTGACTTTCCAAGAACAACGTCGAAAGAGAAATTAATTTTAATTAATAAGGAAAAAATGCTTATGGCAGAAGTGTATTTAAGTCTAAAGAAAATTTTGAGAGTCCTTGACCTATAAAGTCCATGACTGCTGCCATGACAGCAAATTACATCATAATTACAAAGTACAACTTTAATTGGATTTCCTCATTAAATTTGAATAATTTACTGCCAAAAATGAATTTCTGTAAAATGTCATTTTATGAAAACATTTTGGTGCTTTTTGCCAGTGATTCACACACTCTTGCATGAGCTCCACATCCATCATAATTATATGTGATTTCTTTCCTCTCCTTTGGGAGAATGAGGTGGATTTTGTCCGGATGGAGCCACAGCGAGTCAAATTCCAAGAGCAGGAATTGAATTTGTTCTGCGAGCGGCTCAGAGCTGAGAGTCCACTGATTATGAGAGCATTTAACAGCCTCCATTTTCTGCTCACCTTTACTGAAAAAGAGGCTCATCAGGGCTAAATGCAGACGACACAGAGTGAAGCAGAGACAATGATTCTTGGAGGAAACAGAGTCTGGAACGCAGAGACCCCATTTATATGCATTAACTCACTGCCTGACTCTTGCAATCTGCTCGGATGCGCTCGGGATCACGATACACTCCAAAAATCCATGAAAAAAATCCATTTATGAAAAGAACGGCTGTTATGAGTTCATTCGAGTAATGATAACTAGTGATGACAATTTTTTACACTTTGAAAGTGTAGTCAGGCAAACTCTGTCAGTCCATGTGACAAAGTGAGCATTAGTTAGTTATATTTAGGCACACAAGAAATGTATTCCAACAGAAATTTGCAAAAAAAAGTCAGCAAATTATTGAATCAATCAATTACTATTTATTTTCTTATGTGTGTTATTTATTTTCTTATACGTTTCTGTATGTTTTATATTAATTTCACTAATATTATGAATTAATATGCAAATGCAAAAAATACAATTTGTAAAGTAATATTTACCGTTTTTGTAGATGTATTATATATACGAGACTGCTGTTTTTGATTTGTTTTGATTTTTATTAAACGACCGATTCTATTTGGATTTGCATAATAATGCTTAAATACAATTTTATAATTAATTTTTTATTTTTATATTTATTATTAGCTCCTATACTCTCTACATCCTTCTGCATAATCTATAGATAATTCTCAAAAATAAGAAAAAATATGTGTAGAAGTAGCAAAGTCAGATTCTGTCTGGCCCTATATACATTTGATCAGAATTATAGATAAAATGTATAATAATGAACAAAATGATGCCATCCTAAGGCCCTGATAACAAAGAATATATTTTTAATGAGAGGAACCTTTTTAAAATGGTTTTCTATTGACAGTAAGTGTTACACTGTTTATTCATCCAGGCACCTCACGTTTTAATCACATGCTGCTCTTCACATTTTTGATGGAGTGTTCTGTGCGCCTGCAGCTGAAAAGTCAACTCTTTGCGGAAAAAGTGCCCAATGTCACATGCTCCAGCACAATTACTGATGATACAATGACTGCTTAGCAAGAAAAAAAGTGCCTTGCTTTTTCAGAGCTGAAAGTGCAATGGTGTGATTGGCCTGTTAGACAAGCAAATCTGTCTCTGCACTCTAAAAAATGCTGAGTTGTTGTAACCCAATGTTGGGTCAAACATGGACATACCCGACCATTGGTTTAAAAGTATAATTAAAATTTTGTTGAAAGTAATTAACCCAACTTTAGTGTGATTAAAAAAAAAAGGTTTTACAGCTTAAAAAGATTTGCCCACTTCTCAGGTTTAGACCATATGGGGCATAGCATGTGTATTTTGATATAACTATAAATAATTATTAATGTTCATTTATTTGTTTGCTGGAAATTAAAAATAAATTTAGAAATAGCTTTGAAACAAATATTTGTGCTTAATAAACAAAATTAATTATGGATAGGCTAATAGATGTTTGTGCGTACAACACATTTCCCTATCCAGGAGAGTTAAAGTGAAAGTAAATAATGAGAAGGTTCATCTCTCATTCTCGCCAGCTGCTCTGTTTAACTAATTTCTGGCTAGTAAAGCGTTCAGTTTTTACACTTTCAAAGTCCGCCATCTAAATAGCAAATGTACTATGGTGCGATGCAACTCTTAAAGGAAATAGGAGAAGAGAATCTGATTGGTTTATTCTCAAAACACAAATTACTTATTAGGAGAATAAGCTCAACCCTGTAAGACCATGCGCCAAGGTGCAAATCGGATTTTTCCATCCATGCACTCTGCGCATGGATCGTCAAAATAGAGCCCTAAGTGTCATTCGCTCGATCATGTCATTTTAAATGAAAAGTTGACATTGTTTGATATGTTTTTGTTATGACATAACCAAATCCATCACAACTGTCAGTTTCTTTGTCATAACAACTTGATCTCAACAAAACATCATAAATCGGATTATTTTGAGGCCATTGTAAATGTGTCATGTAAGTCTTTATCACTGATTTCTGTGAAACAAACTCAATTTGTCACTACACTTTCTCTTTAAGTGTCAATACTCTGTCAAATCATTTTTTTTAATGGTGCCAATAATATTGAATGATATTTTAAGGACAGATTCATATTGTACCAAGTTAGTTAAGGTCAAGAAATATATTAATGATATATAATTCATGAGACTATTATAATGGCTTCATGACAGAAGTGATGTTGTCTTGTCTTGATAAAGTTGATAAATGTCTAGATGTCATGAAAAAACATGTTATCAGTTTTTGGTTATGTCATATACATTTAAAGGTGTGTGTAAATGTGTATAACTGCATGACTGACACTTAATGAGAGTTCCCATAAACCTCTCACACCATCTTACACCCCTTCAAGTTGTCACAGTCTGTGTCGCACCACAGACGATCGAGACTCAGAGATTATCAAAAACACATGTATTTATTTACATAATCGCACTTACAACAGAAACTTGGCACACAGGACTTACATGGTGGTTGACACTTCAATCTCGGACAATACAGGTGGTATAAATACACAGGACACAAACACACAGATTACAAACAGGGGTGACACAGGTGGAACTAATGATCATTAACACACAGCGGAAAACAAAACAAAGGGGTCACATGACATAAACACACACACATGGAACACGGCACAATACACTAGACGTGACAAGTGTTACAAATTTTTTTTTTCTGTTTTGCTCAAATCATGTGCATGTGTGTAGCTACTGCACAGTGATTTTCTTTTCATGCTCATGTATTTACAGAGGCGCACAGAGTGGGTCACGTGGTTGGTGAGACGTGGTTGCTGGGCAACATCAACCAGACGGGCTACTTTAGAGTGAACTACGACCTTCACAACTGGAAACTTCTTATTCAACAGCTGACGAGAAACCCGACGGTAAAGGACTTGCAATCCCTTTCATCCATCTGTATGTGTGTTTCCATTACGCTTCAAGCTGTGCAAACTGAAACAAGTTGACTAAAATAAACTTAATGGACTTATGCTAAAACTCCCAAATTATGGACAAGGTGGTTCAAGCCATTTTATAATAGTTATATTTCACAAAACTGTAATCACAGTTTTTCACATTTAAAAATCCAACATGTAAAGTCACATGATCAGACTTTATGATGCGTTTATTTGAAGAAACTGCTTCTCTTGGATCCATTGCATTACGCAACTCAAAAAAACTTGATCTGTTCATCTGGAAAATTAAATTATAATGTACCAGAAGCATCTAATATTTGGATACTGCCAGGTATAAGGGACTTTCCTTGCAATCAATGTTTGGGTAAAATGACTATGTCACTTCCCACATGAAAAAATACCATAGTAAAGTGTAGTAAATACTGATGTGTTTTTAAACAATATTATGGTAAAATTCCTGAATTAATCTTCTATGATAATTCTATGCTTGCTATGGTAACACAACAACTACAGTATATTAATTAATACACTACCTGACAAAAGTCTTGTCGCCTATCCAAGTTTTAGGAACAAAAATTAATAAGTTGACTTCAAGTTGATCATTTCGTATCAGAAGTGGCTTATATGAAAGGCAAAGGCCTCTAGATTACGCTTATTTAACCAAAATAAAATATGATCATGCCTTAATTTTTAATTATTTAATTAGGACAGTAAGGTCTGACTTTGCTTAGACAAAAGTCTTGTCATTTAACAAAAAAAGTACAGTATAGAATGAAAAGTCATGGTGCAGTGGAAAAAGAATTATTATTGTGTATGACTCCCATGAGCTTGGACGACTGCATCTATGCATCTCTGAAATGACTCAAATAACTTAATTAATAAAGTCATCTGGAATGGCGTTCTTGCAGGACTCCCAGAGTTCATCTAGATTCTTTGGGTTTATCTCCTCCTTCATCTTACGCTCAATAATGTTCATGTTTGGTTACTGGACTGGCCAATCCTGGAGCACCTTGACCTCTTTGCTTTCAGGAACTTCGAAGTGGAAGCTGAAGTGTGAGAAGGAGCGCTATCCTGCTAAAGAATTTTCCCTCTCCTGTGGTTTGTAATGTAATGGGCAGCACAAATGTCTTGATATCTTAGGCTGTTGATGTTGCCATCCACTCTGCAGATCTCTCACACGCCTCCATACTGATTGTACCTTCACTAAACTTGACTGATTTCTGTGAGAATCTTTGTGTCTAAAAAATGTATTGAAGTAAAACTACAGTATTGATTATAATTTATTAGATCACTTTAGTTAATACTACATTATTCAGTTGCATTCATTGGCAAAGATATGTAGATACTACAATATTTACAGTATAATATACTTCACTATAGTATAGTTCGAAAACACAATAGTATTTAATATAAATTACCCTAGTATTTCTTTCATGGGGGCTTTGATTAAATATATGGCAGCAATATAAATGATCCTAACTACATCTGTCGTTATAATTCTTAAAATGACTTCTCACTAGAAGAGAAAGCAATGATTTAGCTGCATGGCAATGGCAAATGGAAACATCATAATTTTGCAGTAGTTTTTTTTTTGTGTTTGTTTGTTTAATCCCGAATGAATCATTGGAAAGCAAGTTTTTGTCACTTTGTCATCTTTCCTTTCTGCTTCAAATCATGTTTCCCCTTCAGTCATGATTCCTCTTTTCCTCCTCATCTCTCATCTATCCGCCTGCTTTCCGCTGCATTATAAATGTGTGTGCTGTTCTCTTGTGGCAGATCATCTCTGTGGGCAACAGGGCCGGTCTGATTGATGACGTCTTCAACCTGGCGAGGTGAGTTGTGTTTGTTACACGGAGCCTCTGGAAACATGCAGAGTCATTCAGAGAGCCTGAAACCTGCACTAGAGATCCATTTAATGTCCTTCACACCCCTGCAGAGTCTAATTCAGCTTTATTTGTGTGCTGCTTTTTATTGTCCCACTAACTGTCAGGTTATTTCAGGAGGTCTTTGACCTACCACTGAGCAAGTACAAAGTGACAGCGGTGAGGGAAAACTCTCAGAGTATAAAAGCCCACTGAGAGCAAGTCTGGATTATTCAGCACACTCACACACACAATCACAAATTGTTAAAATGAAACCCATCTTTGTAAATGTAGCTATGGTCAGAATTCATTAATTAAGTCTGCGTATTATTAAATGAATCTATTCAGACTCATTGTAAGAGTGCTTATACAACCAACTATATTATACATTTTGATTATAATTCAGATTATAGAGCTGATTAATGAAGACACACTTCCGCACACTCCTTTGTACAGTACTACCATACTATGTAATTTGTAAAATAATACTTCTAATCACTTACATCAAACATCTTTCTCTGTGTTTATTTTCTTTTGTAGTAAACTTGCTCAGTAGTTCAACTGGTTGAACTTTTTATGAAACGCGTTTCTTTGTGCTTAACTCCAATAAAATAATTTGACAATATCCTTAAACACTGCAAATACAACATAAAATGACATGCTTGGATTTTTTATTGCATGATTTGCTCACTTTAGGGTAAGGTTTAGTGAATGAGGTATTTTCAAATGTGGTAAAACACTATACTTTTGAACTGCATTCATATACTACTTGATTTCCAAACTACAGATATACAGTTGGAGTCAGAACTAGATTAAAAAGTTCGTAAAGCTTAAAGTTTAAAAGTATTTTTAAGTAGCTGTAAGTTTTAAAAAAGCTTAAAGTTTTAAAGCAGTTTTAAGTTTTAAGTAGCTTAAAGTTTTAAAGTAGTTTCAAGTTTAAAGAAGCTTCAAGTGTTTAAAGTAGTTTTAAGTTTAAAGTAGCTTCAAGTGTTTAAAGTAGTTTCAAGTTTAAAGAAGCTTAAAGTTTTAAAGCAGTTTTAAATTTAAAGTAGCTTAAATTTGTAAAAGTAGTTTTAAGTTTAAACTAGCTTCAAGTGTTTAAAGTAGTTTTAAGTTTAAAGTAGCTCAAAGTTTTAAAGCCGTTTTAAGTTTAAAGTAGCTTAAAGTTTTAAAAGTAGTTTCACCTGGTTGAACTGTGTGCTTAAGTCCCATGAAACAATTAGACAATACCCTTAAACCATGTAAATACAACATAAAATGACATGCTTGAATTTTTATTTCATGTTTTGCTCACTTTAGGGTAAGGTTTAGTGAATGTGGTATTTTCAAATGTGGTAAAACACTTTACGTTTGAGCTGCATTCATACACTACTTGATTTCCTAACAGCACATATACAGATGAAGTCAGAATTATTAGCCTCCCTAAATTATTACCCTGCCCCCCTTGTTTATTTTTTCCCCAATTTCTGCCTAATAAAGAGATTTTTTCAATAAATTTCTAAAGATAATAGTTTTAATAACAAATTTCTAATTAACTGATTTATTTTGCCATGATGACAGTAAATAATTTTTGACTAGATATTTTTCAAGACACTTCTATACAGCTTAAAGTGACATTTAAAGGCTTAACTGGGTTAATTAGGTTAACTAAGCAGTTTAGGGTAAGTAGGCAAGATATTATCAGACAAACTGTAAACATTTTCTTTGCTGTGTTAAACATTATTTGGAAAATATGTAAAAAAAAAAAAACAAAAGAAAGAAATTCAAAGGGGGATAATAATTTTGACTTCAACTGGATGTATTGGTGTAATGCATTACAAATACTCACATTTATGTAATAGTGTAGTTTTTCCTGTGTACTTGTGTACTTTTACTTGAGTACATTTTTAGTGCTGTATAAGTACTTTATGCTTCACTACTTTATGTTTTCCACAGTGATTGGCTAAGTAGAACAATCAGTGCCGTGATTCCCGTTCAATCAAATCACACAGACAAATCACATCAGACTGACTGACTTCAAGACATCAATGCTTTATAAATATAGCAAACGTGTAGTGTGGAAAATTAAAAATGTCCAAAAAGAGGCAATAGGGAAGATAACGGATGAGAAGATAAAGGATGCCTATTGTATGATGACTGAAATCACAGAATGGTCTTAAACAATAACTAAATGCATTATGGAATGTTACGTTTTCAAACACCTGCACAGGCTTGGTTTTGCAGTGCCAACAAAATAATCAGTGACATATTGTCACAGCTCTATTTGATCTCACATTTTAAATGTATAGTGCATGTATGACAAATAAACTTACACTTAAAAATTACACCCTTAAAAGAAAATGGCTGTAAGCTACACTGTTAATTTGCATAGTATAAGGAGGTATAATTTTCACAGCATAATATTCACTACCCAAGCACTTTTAGAGGAGCTACTATTATTCCGAAAATATACTTTAACTACATTATTTGGCAAGTAATGGTAATTTTATTTGAAAATAAATGTTGAAACTTTTTCCACCACTGGATATATGTAAATGAAATGACGTAATAAAAAGTTGCCATACGCATTTTTATCAGTTTCTGAAAAAACTGAACACATTTTTTGTTCCACTAATTGCCGATTTCTGTTTCATTTTGAAAATATAACTTTAAATAAAAAAAAGCTTTATTTCTGCATGAATATTCTCAGTTTTCTTAAATGTCAAAGTACAGACGGGGATCTTAAACTTAAGGTTATAGCCTAGACAGACAGTGCAAATACATTTTCATCTTCATGGGATTTCAAAAGATTACATCATGACTGACAGATCAGTATGAAAGCAAAGTGTTGCAAGACTCAAAGACTTGTTCAGTCCTTGTATTAACATGCAACTCGAGATATCTGTCACCCAGCTGAGACTGTTATAGGTTCCAAAACAACTGTCTGTAAGCTTTCTATATACATGTATGTGTTACTCTCACAACATATGATGCCACATGCTTTCATAACAATCTCAAAATAGCATCACCAGAATAATGTTTATGTTTTATTTGAACTTCTGATGTCAGAATAATAACATTTAACAATCAAATCCTGAGATATTTATTTAATTTGAATATACAATAATTATGTTCCGTTCATAATTATAGTGAACCTTATTAATCCAAAATAATTAGCCAATTAGTAGCAAATGCCACCTCTTTTTTTGTTGACATTGAATAAACAGTTAATTTTGTCAACAACAAAAAAAAGACAGAAATTTGGCATCTGGCCTTTGGAAAGACCTTAATCTCAAAGCTAACACTCACTTTTTTCTGGTCAGTTTGAATGGATTGTTATAAAGCCGTCCATCACACTAGAAAGAGCAGTCAGATCCAGTCAACTTCTGACCGTTCATTACTGACAGATGCAGCTCGTGTACTGTTAGTTCCTTTTCTCCTTCAGCCTGAAGGCATTATTGAAGAAAAAGCTTTTAGCTCATCAAGAATAGACCTGTGGTGAGACTATTCAGCCGTTACTGCCATGGTGGATAATAAGAATGTGAAGTAAACCTCTGCCTTTTCACTGTTACCTCATTGTGTAGATCCAGATTTAGAGTTTCATCATTAGCTGGAAACTCTCATACACACGTCCAGTGAAACTGAAATGATAAAAGTAAGCGCCAGAAGCTGTCGTTAGTCCCTTCAGGAGCAACTGCTCTCCCTCAGGTCCTCTCTGTAAGACTAATTTTTTGTGTGTCATGGACGAATTATTCAATTGCTAGCAGATTGGATGCTAAAAAAAAACTAATCAGGGTTTGAGTATCACTGATGGACTTTCTTTAACATCGAACTCTGTATATTCTAGAGCTGCTTTGTTTGTTAAATGAATTCAGTTCGGACAGTCATCCACCAAACTAAATGAGGAAGCTGCCAGATGCTCTGCTAGCATTAGCGCTGCTGTTCATCATACTGAAGCGACAGGCTCGTCCGCGCGGCTCACGTTGAGCTAGACAGGGGTTTAGTGGGTATGTGGAGAATTGTGTTTTTGGCCACAGATGTTTCCTAACCATGACGATTCAGTCAACTGATGACAAACCCGCAGGGAACTGTGTGTTTATTGCCATCACGTTGAGCTGAGAATGGAAACCTGTTCCTGCTGCGCTGTCGTACGTCATGTTCATTTAGCCTGTTTATTCAGCTTGGCCTTGTTTACCGAAGAGCTGGATAATTGAAAACTAACAGGACTAAATGCAAATCCTTCAGTTCCTCAGCTTTGTTTTTTTTTCTGGTTAGTGCGTATTGTTTCTCTCGGTTGTTGTTTACAGCTACTCTTAATAAAACTGTGGATGCTAACAGGATGTCTTATTCAACCTCAGGGCTGTGGATGTGTTTATTGGCTCTCAAGAAGCAGAAATGCCAACCTTAGTTAAAAACAGCATCAGCGTAAATCACCATGTGTAAAATGTCTCAATAAATTGCTGGATGATAAAGAGTTTTCATATGACAGAGGGAACTGAGTGCCTGGAGTGATGTCACCTAATTAAATGCCCCTGGTGCTCATGGGAATCATTCACACAGATCAATGCAGCCGCACAAAGCTCAGTCAGGCTGTACTATGATTATGAATTACTGGATCAATTGAGAAGATAGCTGCCGTTAGCGGAGCCTAGTTTGAGACTGAAAATAATATTTAATATGCATTATTAATGGAGGAATATAATATTTGGGGTAATTGCATAGTTTTTCAACTTTACAAAAAGTGTCGTTACCACAGAGATATTGGCGTATGTAGCACCAGCTCTACAGAGGGTTTTGATTAATCTCATTAAAAGTTTTACATATTTAAGCCTGACTTTAAAGCATAAATTAACAGCAGAGACAACAAATCAAATGCAGATTCTACTACTATTATAAATAACCAACATATCTCAGCAATCTGCCCCAAAAAAAAAAAAAAAGACAACACCCAAAAACACATAACATAACATAACAATTAATAGTGCTAATAC